CCGCATGGCACTCTGTGTGAAAACTACAGAAGAAAGTTAAAGAGGAGAATGGGGGTTGGAGGTCCAAAAATTGTGTATCGTAACATGCAGGGTATGAAAACCCCCCAATGTGATTCATAAATTGTGGGAAAGGACTTAAGTGGAGTAGGAGAAGATACCAGTTGAGGAGTGTCAGCAATTGATTGAAAGTATGCCTAGAAGGATTCAGGCAGTGTTTAGGGCCAAAGGAGGCTATACCAAGTACAGATAATATCCAAATACCCTTTTCAATTCAAAAATGAAAAAACCCTTTCTATGGTGTTGCTGTTTTAAATCAACCATATCTTCATAGCATGCAAACCAAATTACATGACCTATGGGGCAACTTTATAGCCAAGAGTATGTGTTATTTATGATTCCTCCAAAGCTAAATGTAATACTCAAGCTGTTTGATGGTATGCTTCATGCATAACACCCAGAGTCAACATGGAAAGAGTGGCATGCAGGAGCCCCCTATTTGGTGTCAATAACACAACTTCTCAAAACTTTTTCACCAAAACATGAGCTCAGCAGAAATTCAACATAAACTCAGCAACTTGAAACCCAGCAAGCATTAACTTGAACTGCAGAGCATCCTCAGACTTGCCTTTCAATAATTGTGATCCAGGCAGGAACCACATATATATTTATCAAGGAAGGAGGGTTTTGACAGTATGGATGGTATCTAGCTTTTTTTCGAGTCTAGATTATTCCTTAGCACAGTTTTGGGTCTTCTGTATATTGTTTCCTTATTATCATTATCATGCTACAGTACTCCACTAGTTTAGCCTTTGAAATGCATACAATTTATGAGGTCAAATCAAGAATATGTAGTAGACTGCCCTTGCTGATATTTTATGGGGCTATGTAAGTATGTACTTGAGTTTTAGTGACCTGTTTTTCTCATAAATGTGGCTGTTTCATGCCGATTTGTGGCACCTGCCGACCATTCTCATACTCACCTTGTAAGCTTTATTGGTGTGGAATGGGGGGCTCCCGCGTGCCACCCTTAATTTGGTGGCGACTAAAAATAAGCATATGAGCTTACAATTGATGCGAAGACTGAATAAGGGCTTTGTAAGTGACATGCAACGAGCTGACAGTCTCTCATCTTAGTTTGCAGCTGTACAGTTATACATCGCAAAATACCTTATAATCCAAACACTAATCATCTTGTCCTCAATCCCCTCTTCTCTCCCTTTGGATTCACATCTGCAAGATTCTCCACTTCGTTTTTACTCCGCTATTTTTTTTCTAAAAAATCAAACAATGACTTCCTCAACTGCACCGCTCTAAAGTTGACTTAGACACTGGCATAGTAATCCCTTTATTTCCCAACATATCAATCCAGTTCTACGACAAACCATGCATCAATACACAACAGTCCACAGAGTCCATGTTTGCGGATACATGTAACGACCAAGAGTTTGTTACTCTGGCGCACAACTAGAACACACTATAGAGATGATGATGAGGGAGTGGTCACCCTTTAGACTTCAACAAGTTAGTTGTGAGGATACAACAGGAGGACTCGCTGAGGAGTCTCCTTGATTGATTGGGGTATTTATACTAATACAGAGTGTTTGTACCTATGTACTGTACAGTTGATAAAGGCAGTGGCTGATGATGTCAGAGGGCACAGCCCGTGTGACCAGCTCCACTGCGTGAGAGAGTTTGAGTCTAAAAGAAGAATAAAGGTAGTGCTGCGCAAGAAGGTGGAGTTAGAACAAAAAGGGAAAGTGCCGGATGGCACGGGGTGTGATAACTAGAGTAAAAGGTTAAAGGAGA